ACAGGCAACGGGGCGTCACTTACACGCCAAGTTGGGATCGTCAATCGTCACATTGCGGACACCGTGCTCATAAAGAACCTCAAGCTCGGTGCGGTACGCTTTGGCGATATCGGCAAAGTACTCTTCGTCGTTGGCGTAGACGTCCTTGGGATAGGCGTGGCCCTTTTGGTAGCGGAGATGATACCACTCGGGCGCGGGCAAGGTCAACTTGGCCTCCTTGACGCTTTCAGGAGGGATGTTGCTCTTGAGGAACTCCCACTCTCTCAGGTAGGTGCTTCCCTTGTGCTTGATCTTTCCGGTGCAGACAATGGACTCGCCGGGCTTGTGATCGCTCTCAACTGGGTGTCACATAGCGTCAGCCTCCCCAATCTCGAGGATATCGAGTATCCCGTGGGCCAAGACTTACTAAACGCCGCAATGTCTGGCACGTACATGCGAAATACATCCCAGCTCGGCGTGTCGACCTCCTCGAACCCCTCCAGTCCGGGGAAGAAGTTGCCCCAGAACTGGTGGCGGCGGTACTCGCCGTCGTTGATGGCGTGGAAGCCGAGGTCCAGCTGCGTCCTGACGATCTCGCGCACGCCCTCCTCCTCGAGGCGGTTGAGTTCCTGGTCGTCTGCAATCTCTACGGCCTTTTTCCCGTCCAAGGCGACGCGCTTGTCAGTGAGGGCCTTGGGCCGCAGGAGCGAGCCCATGTGTTCGGCGCGGAAGGGCGGTTTCTGGTGGTTCTTGGACGTCATGGTTTCTATTTTGCGTAGACAAACAGAAAGTTATTGGTGTTGCAGTGGAGTAGAGCACGAGAAGAACCCTCTGGCCACGGCGTATATATAGACTTTGGTACTCGCGACGAAGCGTGGGGTTGCGAAAGGGGATAGGCCTTCGGCATTGCGAGATCCAATGGCCTAGCTAGGTAACTTTCCTAGGTTGGCCAGCCACTCAAACCAGGTCTCGCGAGGGCGTCCACTCTGGTGTAAGACTACCCGAAGCAAACAGACTTGCGCTCTCTTGGACCTGGACCCCCGTCAGGACGATGTCATCCGGTGCCACCATCACCACTTCCCCCAAGCTGCCCATCCACCAAGATTCCCCGCTTTCCCCGCCCTTTGTCATAGCTTAGTCGAGGGGGTCTGATCATAAGTTGCTGGACGGCAGATGAGTAGAGCGGCATCGGAATCGGCTATCAGTCGTCGGCCGCTTAAGTAAATGCGAGCGTTTTGGAATTGGTGCCTGGTTTCTGCTAGGTTGAAGCCATTCTCGAGGTTGATTTGCTTCTTCTCAGCGCAGCCAAGGCAAGGTACCTATGCGCCGTAAGAGCGCAGCGGTGGAGACGCTGAATGATTGTCGTTCGAGGAAAAGAAACTTTTATATGGCTTGCATTCATTTCAAGATCATAAGTCTTCCGACATAAAATAGAGTAATGTCTAGTATGTAAGTGCTAACTGGACTCTTGTGTAGCTCAAGTGCATCGCCGATTCGTCGGCTGCCGTGCTTCTAGCTATTCGCGGTGTTATCGAGATTGGTACTGGCAGTTTCCCAATCACTGACCCCAGGACATGATCCACTTATGGTCAGTTCACGAATTGATAAAACCCATGTCTGTCACATGCACTTAACGCCCTTCGAGAATCTCAGACAACAAAACTAGAGGTACCAAGAGATGTCATGGGAGGGAGGTGTGAAGATCCGGAGCTTCGAACTCGGAGCTTTTATCGTTATCTTATCGCAGGAGCTCTGGTGGAGCACTGTGGCGAAGGCCGCCCGTTCCCGTGGCGGGGCAAACGGACCAGGACCCCGCGGTGACATGTCGCCCCCATCCAGGTCAGGTAACCTCGGAGCTGCATCTCATTGAATGGCAAAATTTCCATGATAGCATCCATCATTAATCCTCTTCTGCTCCAGTCTCTTCAGCCATAGTGTTGGATTGAATCCGGGACTGAGATCCTTCCATCAGCAAACTATCAGCCTATCTCATCCGGGGCGGCTTCATCGCTTCGTCTGAACTTGAAACTTGCCTCGGCCGGGACTATTCCGTGAAACATCGCCCTCTAGGCCATATTGTGTATTTCGTTCGACGACATAATCACTTCGCATCAATTCATCGAGACGACTTCCGCATCTGCGATAAAACTCCGACAGCCTCTGCTATAATACAAGCAACGATGGCCACCTCCGTCAATGATCTCCCAAACGAGATCCTAAGCCAGATATTCTCCCACCTGGACCGACCTGCGCCATCAGACTCGAAACTCCATGATCAACCAAGCTCTTCCATGCTGCAGAACCTCTTCTTTGACCGCGATCTCAAGACTACTTCTCTCGTTTGCAAGCGATGGCGAGGTGCCGTGCTCCCTCTGCTGTTCCGCCATGTGGTCTGGACATTCGATCGATTTGAGTTACCGCTCATGGAAGAGACGGGAAACCCTGCGTCCGCGATCGAGTTTTTGTCATTCCTCCGGGCGAACAATTTGACCAACTATGTCGAAACACTTTCAATGTTTGTCGAAGATGCCATGGGCGGCGTATCGGACGGCACCAGCAGTGCCACTCTTATGGAGACAGGCTTTGCGAACAAGGCCTCGTACAGCGAAGACTACAACTGGCTCTGGACGACAATCTTTGAACATATTGATCCCACCCGGCTTACAATGATTGCGTCGCCACGGGTGTTGGCCCAGATGCTATCGCGTATGCTCTTCCTTGGGGATGCGTGGAACTTTTCCATGCCTCGGCATGTTCTTTCGCTATCACGCAAAGACAAAAGGACAAAAGAGACGCAACTCGAGGCACCGGTGACAGCATCATCAACAAGTCAGGCATCTAGTTCTGAACTCACACATCAGAAGCGTGTTCCATGTGGCTTATTCACCACCCGCCCATGGCAGGCTCTCTTACTGAACGAAGGATCCTCGACGCGAGTCTACAAGACATACGAATTCTACCTCAAACGCCCACCTTCCATCCTCGGCGCTCTCCTGGGCGCAGAAGAGTTCCCCAATGACGAATCCATGATCCCCTCCTCGATCCGCGACCTCTCCTACGTCGGCATCTTCCCCCTATCGAGCCACTTCAACACCCTTGTCCAAAACGTCCCGCGCCTCCACCGCCTCTTCGTCCAGCTCGTCCCCCGAAACGACATCCTCTCCGACCACGAAGAAATGCGCAACGTCGACCTCGCCGATCTCTGGATGGAGCGCAACACGGCCTACTCGATGCTGTTCCGCGAGCTCTTCAACCCGAGCCCGGACAGCCCCTGGCTTGAGCTGAGCGTCTTTGAGAGCGGCGACGCGGCGGACAAGGAGGCGTGGGATATGGCGGTGCAGTTTGTGCAGTTTAGCGGCGTGCAGGGGTGGCGGGTTGCGGGCGAGGGCGTCTTTGCGAGGGAAGGGGACGAGGACGACGTCGGTGCGATCCTCGGCATGTCTCAGTCAGTGGCGCCAGCGGGATCGTCAAGATCACAAACATTGTCTGGGTGATGTTTACTAATGCGGCAGGTGCGAGAAAAGACTCCCGGGTAGACTCAAACGGATGGCGTTCAACGGAGTTGCTTCGTTGCCAGTGTCTAGCGTTACGCTTTACATGAGAGACGCAAACGCGCCGTAGAGGGGTGTTTGTGGGGCATATGTAGGAAGATCAGGACATTCCTTGGGCCAGCCGTATCAAGCAGTTTATGACAATTCTGCCACGACCTAAGGCTATGGCAGGCTAGACACACGAGGCATGATGATGGGAAGTTCACATGCTAGGATGTGGGAAGATATCGTAGGGACATGAACCATGGAGCAATCACCAACTGCAAATTCGAAATTACCACCGACATTTCAAAAGTCCCAGGCTTACATTGACCCATCGAAAGACCATGCTCCCAGTGTTGTCCTCTTTTGTGTCTTCTAGAGAGGATGTACAATGCAAGACCCTCAATCACCTTCTCAGTAAATATCACGCCGACCCCTGGCTATGTAGTTTAGATCCGATCTAAGGCCTCGTATCACCACCCAACAACGCCGAAGCAAATGTTTGATGTCTCGGTCTATCGCAATAAAATCAATAGCCAATGAGACTCATCCTTGAGTATCAAGCAAAGCGGTGCGGTCGGTGGAGAACATTAGACCATCTCCATCATCAAACGTTTCTCCACAAGCTACCATACGGCATACACGTGGGGAGTTTCAGACGTAAAGTCAAAATCCGAGCAGCGAGCTTCCATCTTTGAACTGAGGTTGAGTTCCGAGGTGGGGCCAAGGTGAGGCTTAAACCAACGACTGACAGCTCGCACCTTGGTAAGCAGGTAAGGAAAGGTAAGCTCTCGGTGAGATCGGTGAGATCATGTGATTTTGCCACTCGGACGGCCCAAGCTCGTCTGACGAAAAGCGGGCGCACAGGCATCTCTCAGCCAATCATTAGCCGCAATACCTGCAGACAAAGCCAATTGGCGCCTCTTCTCAGTGGCTGGAAGGACCTGGTGTGGACGGTGCGGCATAGTCGGGGAAGGAGGCACTGGACCCAGACCAAAAAGAAAGTCGCACCGGACGGGAAGCTTCTTCCCCAAAATCATCGACCTATCGAACGATATACGCACGAGCACTACATCATTACCTTACATCCGCCCTCTCCTCCCCCTCCCCTCCTCATCTCCTCCTCTTCGTCCTCCTCGTCACCATCTAACCCCCTCTTTAGCTGCGGCCACCTCCCTTTCTTCATTTCTCGCATTCCTTCGCCTTTCATACCATTTACGACTGCGGCGAAGACTGGGCGCAGATCAAATCCCGACCCTGACAAAAACCGACGACTTGGTGGCCGAGCTTCCGGACGAAGCTTCAAATTCTTCTTTTCCTTATCCCTCGAACAACAATCAATACGTGCATTGGATTGCCATCTCGAGGCTCTCAATGTCAACGCCTCTTGCATTCCGACGAACGTGAGCGCCTCCCACAACAAATACTCGACTCACGACGATTGAATTTCTTCAAGAACACATCGACCCGAATACGCTTCTCGTCAACATGGTCCTCTCTCACACTACGAACCACACCTACTCCCACCCCTTCCCGACCGTGACACTCGCCTACTTCCTCCGCTACTCTTCGCCCAAACTCAACCCGTTCTCCACCCATGTCCTCAGCACCGACACCATCGATAGTCGCCTCGACCCGGTGACGGGCCGGCTGCACACCACCCGCATCCACCTCAAGAAGTCTCGCATGCCTGCGCCCGTCTTCAAGCTTCTCCCTACATCCATCACCGGCGGCGGCTCCAGCGAGAAAGTGAGCTATGTTCTCGAGAACTCAGTCATTGACATGCGCGAGGGTTGGATGCGTACCGAGAGCAAGAATCTCAGCTTCATGAATGTGCTCTCCGTTGTGGAGAAGCAGGACTTCCGCCTTCCCACCGATGCAGCTGACGCGAACACCGACGTCACAACCACATATGTCTACAAGTCGCGTCTCGGCGAAAGGCTTCGCGGCGGCAAGAAGGACCAGATGCAATCTGCCGTCGAGCAGCCGGAGCAAAAGGAGGGTCGCTGGATGCCGGGCTGGATGAGCGGACTCGGCGCGCGCGGCGTTCAACGCAGTATTGAGAGCATCGCTTCGAGCAAGACACAGGATCAGATGGGCAAGAGCCGTGAGGGCATGCGCGTCGTCCTGGAGAGACTTAGGAAGAATGGCGTCGTGGGCGTGCTGGAGATGATGAGACGGGAACGCCAGTTGGCCTGATGGCCGTGCCCGGCTCGACGAATGCGCATCTCGGAACGTGACCTGGGCTGGAGGGGGGAGAACACCCATGTATACCATTCACCAAGGGTCATTGACGACATTGCCCGGTCCGCGGGTCACGTTCGGAGGTGGCTGTACCCCTATCACACCACTTGTTGTACATTATTCTATGACCATAGCGCGGCGTCTTTATGGCTTTTTTTATGGCGGTTTTTTATGGCGGTCGGGAGGACACGGCAAATATGGAATGGACTGCGACGGATACGGAAAATTCTTGGACTCCTGTCATGCCGTCCCTGTATGACATCCCCTCTCTTGGATTTGGCACTTACGTAGTCAAAAATAACATGTAAAAACTTTGGAATATTTATAAGCTGGGCCAACCCGATCTGTGCAAGTTTTTCTCAGCTGCAGAGTTGTATGTTGGTTCACGGTCCTACATAATGCCATGGATAGCTTGTTTTTTGTGACCATTTGTCTGCGTATTCTGTTTTGTATTCACTTTGATGGGTATCACCGTTTATTCAGGCTCAGCAAGTCAATCATCTGACCAAAATCGACCTTGCCTTGATCATGTCTTCTTTACTCTACAAGTTTACAGTATAGTACACTCCTATACAAAGAGTCGTGTCCGCGTTCACTTTTGCGCCTTCTTCGCTTCAGCGTTGGCAGCCTCCTCGTCAGCCATCATGGCCTCGATATCCCCAGACACAAGCCAATCCCTTACCTCGTCCACAATCTTATCCAGCGACTCGCCCCCCGCAATCACATCGGGCAGATTATGCACATCGATCCCCGCCCGGTGGTCCGTCACGCGGTCCTGGTTATAGTTGTACGTCCGGATCTTGTCCCCGCGCGTAATCTTGTGCTTGGACAGCACAGAGTTCCTCAATTGGGCGGCGGCCTCCTCGCGCGCCTCACGCCGCTGCAGAGCCACCCGCGACCGGATCAGCTTCCACGCGTCGTCCCGGTTCCGCGACTGCGACCGCGAGTCCTGCATGCTGACGACGGTGCCCGTGGGGATATGCGTCATGCGGATCGCGGACTCGGTCTTGTTGACGTGTTGCCCGCCCGCGCCGCGCGCCCGCATCGTCTCGATCTTGACCTCGGACGGGTCGATGAAGAAGTCGCTCTCCGGGTTGTTGATGTCTTCCATGTCGCCGCCGTTGTCGCCCTGAAACGAAGGGAGGACCCAGACCGCCACGGCGCTCGTGTGCACGCGGCCCTTGCTTTCCGTCGCCGGGATCCGCTGGACGCGGTGCATGCCCGCCTCCCCGCGGAAGAGGTCGTACGCGCCCGGGTCCTGGACCTCGATGACGGCTTCCTGGAGGGGGCTCTCACCCGCCGCAGAGGAGGAGTCGCCCGCCGCGTCAGCCATGTCGTACTTGATAACGTTTGCACGCAAGCCCTTTCTTGCACAGTAGCCCTTGTACATCTTGAACAGCGTGTCGGCGAAGAAGCGGCCCTCAAGACCGCCGGGACCGGGGCGGAGCTCTAGGAGGCAGGGCATGTGCGCGTAGGGATCCTTGGGCGTGAGCGAGGCGGAGAGCTTGCGCGAGAGGGAGCTGAGCTGGCCGTTTGTGGCTTCGAGTTCCTCGGCGGCCATTTCGCGGAGCTCTTTATCCTTGGAGAAGAGAAGGCCGTCGAGCTCGGCGATGGAGGATTGTGCCTTTTCCCATTCTCGGAGGGCGGTTACAACGCTCGAGAGCTCGCCTACGCGGCGGGCCGTTTTGGAGTCGTAGTCTGCTTCGAGGGCCGCGGCGAGGGCGTCGTGTTCTTTTGCGATGTTGCGGGCTCGTTGGAGGAGGGCTGGTGGGAGGGTTGCTGTTGCGTCTGGGGTTTGACGACGTATTAGCTAGGGGATCGTAGAGGTTCAGAGTCGACGTGGATTGAGAGCTTACCGGAGCTAGCATGGCGGATGAATTGGGTCGCTCTGGGCTTCAGAAGCCCTCCCAGGCAGCGACGGCACACCCATGGTGCTGCGAGCATACTCGGACAGCGAGGCGGACTGGCGAGAGAGGAATTAAGAGGAATTGGGTTACTTTTTTGAGGTGGTCCAAAAAAAGTTTGGATGTCCCAGAGCTTCGGTACAAAGTTCCGCGCCAGTGACATCAATTCACTTGCAGTCCAAAAAAAAGTGCATTATGTAATACTCTGCATTTCATCTCATCAAACAACTCAACATGAATGTTTCTTCGCACCCAAGTTTTTGTCGGCTTTTCCCCTGTTATTCATCTTGGTTCTTATTGAATCCCATCTCTACTGAGATTTATCTTAGCTTTTATCATAGACTTCAGTCTCACCTCACACAGTTCACCGCCAGATAACCACTGCATACGCTCGTTTCTTAATATCATTAACTCGTATTATTCATACCGTCCTTTGACGTTTAGCACTTTGGCTTGTATCGTCCAAAGATGCAAGCCACTCACGCACACGGCCCTTGTCCTCTCCGCCCGAGGGCATAACATATTGATTCAAAGGTTTCTGGACCGTACGGGAGCCTGTCAAGACCCCTTCTCTCTCCAGGTATGCTCGCTTGGCCGCCAGCGGATAGACTAGGTACATCTCGGCCATGCCTGGCTCCATCAAACTTCGGCAAGCGATCTCCAGCCCATCAGGCACAAGTCCATCCTCAAAATTGAACCATACGTCGGCTACAGCCTTCTTCATGATGAAGTCTCGAGGAGGGAGCAAGAGCCCTTGGCTTTTCAGGTATGCCCGTTTCTTCGGCAGCGAGAATCTCATGTACACTTCGTCCATTCTCGTCTCGCTAAATTCCGTTGCAATGGTCTTCAGTCCAAAGGGTACCAGTTCGGGCCCAAAATTGACCCTCACGTCGGTCATGGCCAGCTGAATAGGGTCGCGCATTTCCTTTTCTATGCTCTTCATTATGCCCGTGCACTGATCGAGGATGCGGGTGACCCGGTCACATGTTACCTCCATCAACTCTTGCCGCTGCTTCGACTTGGTCCGCCGCGGTGTAAGTTGGGCCGGATGGGTTGCGACGGCGTCCAGTACCGGGCCCACGAAGGCTATCGTCTTCGGCTTCTTTGTCGCGTGTTCACCGTTGGCGGCAGCAGAAGCAGCTGTCATGGCCTGTGTTCTCTTCACACCAGCGATGGACTTCTGCAATTCGGCTTGGCTGCGGTGGAACTTTTGGACGCCTCGCTCAATCGCCATGCGTCGAGATGCGGCGGGGGATGGTAGTGCTGGCCAGTCGCTCAGAAGTGGTACGCGACGTTTGCCGTCCTTGTCGTATTTGGTGTCGCTGTCTTCTTCTTGCGCATCGTCGGAGGACGAATCCTCCTCAGTGAAGTACTCGTCGGACGATGCATCCATCATCTGCCCCTCGAGTATGCCAGTCACCTTGATTGCCGCCGCGGCAGCTGCGCCTGCAATCGCCGTATAAATGGCTGGTGTTTCTTCGCCTGAGTCTGTATCTGGATACATTGCTGTGATATCTTAGCAATCTATTCGCTTTATTCAAAGTAGGCAGATCGTGGCTAGTTTAAGTGCGAACTTAGCTTCCCCTGACAGAACTCTGCGTGAGTGAGGGCGAGTCGCGTGGACCTCGCAAAACGTTCACCGCGTTATGGAGTTGCCCAATCATGAATACTGAATCGTATTATGTAAACGTCATCCAATCTATTGATCTGCTCGATGGTTCCCGTTCCGCAAGATTGAGTTTACAGAGTTCACATATATCCTTGCGACCGTACCACTATTTCAACGGCTTTTGATGGAGGCTGAATGAGTTTCAACTCGGCATTCCCCGAGTTCGTCGGGTTTCTTCAACACCAACAGTTCATGCTCATGACTCTGTGTTCATCACGCGCCATTAATGCTTTTCTCTCCCTCTTCCCAAAAGGGCTCTCGTATATCCGTATGTCCAAGCCATGCTTATCCCTTCACTTTGCCTTGCCAACGTCCATGATCGAGGTTTCCCCAGAACTTCTAGTCCCAGGTATGCAACCTCACGAAAGACCATAAAGCCCCTGCTTCGTGCCCAAGTCATTTCGGCACGAGCGGCATTATAGCGAAGGATCAAGCCCATGCAGCTTCAGTGCGGACTCAGGTTCATGACCGGATGGTATTACATATCCGTGCTAAGAATTTGTATGCCCACGCAACTCGGCTGAGCCACATCCTATCTCCGAGTCAAGCAAGCTTAGGACATAGTCGTAACCCACCGACAACCTTCCGGATATCCGCCTCGTATGGCTTGAAAGGTCTTTTCGTTTACCAAAACATTTTGTTTACTAAATCCAGTTTCGTTTCTGATTCCCGAACTCCGTCGTCGTTTGGACAAGCTAAGCTGTAAATACTCTGCCTGTCCTATCAATGTATTCCTAAGCCTCAGCATCAACTACCCTAATTCCCGAAGACCTTTCTCTACTCGTTTCCCGAACGTGGCTGGCGGAACGTCAAGCTAGCTTGAATGGCGGGCCTTTGCTTACTTAGACACCGGTCACGGCATGCATGATCCGACCTTTGTGGGGATGTTTGTTTCCTCAAATCATAGTTGTCGACTCATTAGCCGACTGATGTCGTCTAAAGTCTCACTTCTGTCTTGAACACCTGACTCCGCTTAAGACATATCACATCCCAGTTTAGTATGAGCGTAAGCCTCCTCCATCGGGGCCAAGGGTGTTACAGTTTTGAGGACGATGAGACCAACATCTCCTCCTTGAAATTGTGACTATCATCCGGAATCATGGTTACAATGGTAGGTTTGTCTTTGTTTCTGGAAAGAATCTCAAGACAACATTATTATTTCTGGAGCTTGTGTTACTCATCAAACCCGACTATTTGAACTATCATTGAATAAGCAGGGTCCCCGCAACATGGTCGATAATGAGTTCAGGAGATTGACCACATTGAGAGAATATTTGATTAACCAGTCTTCAATTCAGGGGTGTCGCATGGTCAGGAACTTCGCGCTCGCCTTTGCGGAGGTTTTTTGAAGCCCGGATCGGCTCGAAGTCGGGCATTTTAAGCGGCTGAATCCTTCCCACAGACTAAGTTATAGCGTTGAGAATTAAACAGGTCTGCGAACCACTCATGTTCTTGAATAGCATCAGCACTCCCGTATATGCGGAACTCCCTGTGAGGATTATTTGGGCCAAGCTCTTCTCAGTAAGCGTCAGGCAGAAGCGACGCTAAAAGTGGCTTGACCAGAGTCAGGTGGATATTCTGCTGCTCGTATTCAATTCAGGGCTGAAAGTTCACCCTCCTATGACGCAGCCCTAGCGAGTGAAGATCATCCCTTCAACTGGGGATTTAAGAACTCAGCTAAGTCGCCCCCAAGTAAGTCCCAGAAGCAGTCTATAAGCCTCATTCAGCCCTACAATTCCGCATTCGTTCCTCACAAGCTTCAACGGTTTCTAGTTCCGAAGCTGTACTTTCGCTAAACATCACAATGAAGTGCTCTACCATCATCGCCGCCTCCTCCTTGGCCCTCGTGTCAGCAGGAAACTGCAGCCTCCCCCAAATCAACCTGGGTCACTTCTCCTTCCCTCATACCAATATGTTCGTCGCCTGGTCGCCCTACACACCGACCACGATCCAGGAGCTCGATGACGTTTGCGTCAAGGCGGGCGCCATCAAGGGTACTGCTACGTGGACCGCCGTCCGCACCGCGAGCACTTACACGTCGGGACCCATCTGCGGAAACCCCTTCAACATCACGAGCGATGAGACGGGCGTCACGTATCGCAACCTCGAATTAGCTTGCAGCGACGACAACAGCGAAGGACTGGCGACGCAGGTCACTGCTATTGTGGACGCGACGTCCCAGACTACTGTTCAGACATGCACGCCTGTGCTGGTGGATGGTCAGCCGTTCCGCTTGGGCGATGGTTGCTCCAACTATCGCGGCAGCTCTCTGTCTTTCGACTTTGCTTGTTCTTCATAAAGCTGAGGACAGTGGCTTTTGGGTCAGCTGCTGAGTTTCAGGTATAACTATGCGCATTATTGTCACAATCATGAAAAATTAGAAAAGTTGGGCTCAGCCTGTTAGACACAAGTCCCAGCTTGGCATGAGGTTTCCACTTTCTCGTACCAACATAGACCTCGAGCCATAAAAGCCAATCAAGCCTATATCAGAGTCAAATTACTAAAGTTTTAATTTTCTGATAATTTGTCTGCATGTGGTCCGCAAGGTAATAGACATAAGATGCCAACTTGGAGCTCAACTCATTGTCAATGAATATCACTCAAGCACAATACCTTAGGTATTCGAGATACGCCAGCCAACAATTGCCACTACTCTCGAGTTCCTATTAGGCAGCTAATAAGCATCTAATTCATTTCTCATGCGGCACAGCAAGGTGCCTAAATCACTTGCCTGAGCCAATTTCTGGGCATGCTCGATATACACTTGGTGACTGAGAACTGTCACTAATCATCGTTGGACAACCATGTGGAGTCCTTAACAGGTCTGCCCTGTTACGTTAGTTCAGTGCCAAGTGGCAGAGCTTATACGCCTTAGGGCGGCTCTCCGCGTTTAGTTAATCAAGCTAAAGCTTATTGGCACTGAAACCCTCCAAATCGCAACGCCCTTCCACTGACATCCGTCCCACACATTGACTTGGCCTCCACATTTTGCCGGTCTTAACCTGCCTCTTCGGCGTGACCAGTCGTGATACCAGCTCAATTCGTCATAACTTGGCGGAGCTTGCAGCTTGACTAAGAAAGTATTGGATCAACCGAGTTTAAAGCTGTGGGCGATAGGACTAGTGTTCATCATCTGTCCCTGCTTGGCGACCCCCACCGTCACGAGCTTCGATCGAAAGGCGTGACAAGATATCTAGAAACCAGCACTGTTGCATGAGTCAAATCAAGTCGATAATCTCAACTTATATAGACCACATCTAGGGGTTCAACCATACTTATCCGCCCCCGGCTGGTGACCACCCTTCATCAAACGATTACTGTTTACTCCGGCTTTCCGCAAGATCCTCCCAAGCCCCCCACCCCCGCCTAGACACTCACAATGGGTTACGTCCTCTACGTCGCCAACAAGCGCTACTCCAGCTGGTCCATGAGACCCTGGGTCCTCCTCAAAGCCCTCAACGTCCCCTTCGAAGAGCGCCTTCAGACTTTCGTCGCCGGTCTTCGCCAACCCGCGTTCCTGAGCTTCTCTCCCTCAGGCAAAGTCCCCACCCTCCAGGACGGCGACACCACCGTCTGGGACTCCCTCGCCATTGTGGAATACATCGCCGAAGACCACCCGGCCGCCTGGCCACAAGACAAAGTCGCCCGCGCCTTCGCCCGTAGCGCCGCCGCGGAGATGCACACCGGCTTCGAGGCCATCCGCGACCAGTGCTCCATGAACGTGGCGCTGCGCATCGACCTCGGCGGGCCGCCCGACGCGGCGTTGCAGCGCGACCTTGACCGGCTCGAGGAACTCTGGGTCGAGGGTTTGACGCGCTTTGGCGGGCCGTACCTCGCGGGTGCGGAATTCAGCGCCGCGGACGCCTTCTTTGCGCCTGTTGCGACGAGGATTCAGACTTTTGGGTTGAAGGTTTCGGAGCCTGCGATGAAGTATGTGGAGACGCTGTTGGAGCATCCTGCTGTTAATCAGTGGGTTGTGGAGGGTATTGCGGAGATGGCGAGGGAGCCGTACCATGAGAAGGACGTGCTGAGAGGCCGGAAGGTCTTGAAGGACTTGACTCAGACTCAATGATTTACATACTGGAATTGGCGATGATGGTTAGGGTTTCTTGTTACATGGCGCAAGGTGGCTATTCGGGTACATGATGCTAGGCCTGTCTCGACTGCTCTAAGCTCTCTCGGGATGTCGATGGGAGATCCATCCAACGAAGACTTGCTTGCAAATAGAGATTTCACTTGAAGTTGCTTCTTCTTTGAACTGACTGTGAACGAGTTTGAGGCGGCGAGAGACTCCATGTCACCTGCTAACTTGACTCTCTAAGTGTACAAGTCTAACCCCTTCGCGGACCAGGCGTACCTGTTCCTTCGAGCATCACGGACGTTTGGAGCTTTGAAACTATTATGCAGTTGAGAGACTCCTGAATTGATTGCACACTACCTGATATGTTTCAAGACTGGCCTACAACCCGGCGTCTTGAGATTGTGCAGCTAGACTGTAAGTCTGTGAAGATATATATATACAAAGAAGTTGTAGGTCTTTGGGTCTCTCGGCAGCCATTTGATCTTCGTACACCTAGGTACATCGATTTCTTTAATAACATCAAGTCTTAGTTGGGGTTGCAATAGAAGCAGCCCATGTTGTTGTCAATTCCGCTGGCCAGGTTGCCGCCGGGGTATCTGAAGATTTGGTGAGAGCCCTTGGTGGCGTCACAACCGCTGCCAGCTCTATGAGGTCGTCAGTTGCTCACACTCAAGACACATCAAATACGGAAGACTAAGAAAGGGTTCCCGTACTGGTAGAAATCGCACCAACCACCGTTGTCAGGGCCTACAGAGCTAATACGGGAGACCCAGTAGGAGTCAGGGTAGATGCCGACGCTGATGGGGTAGCAGCCGTAGTAGCAGGAACCACTGAAGTTCTGCCCGTCACACATGTAGACGCCCTCACAGATGCGCTTGGTGAGACTGCGGGCGGCGTTGGAGCCGTCAGACTTGAGCTTGGCGACCTCGGTCTTCAGCTCCTCGTACGGAAGGGGACCGGCGAGGACGTAGGAGTTGGCATCCTCGGGTACGGGGCTGGGGGCGGCGGCCACGAGGGTGGCCGAGACGAGAGCGAGGAGAGAGGAGACGCGCATGTTGGCGGTTGTGATGGCTTTTTTGAGAATGGTAGAGAGGTAGGACTTGTTGAGATGGTTTGTCTTGTGTGAGGAGTGGTGAGAAGGGTTGAGGTTCACGGGAAGGCACCAGGCTTTATATACCCGGAATTAGAGATGACTTCCTGAGGAGAGCCACCCGAGATACTATTAGCAAGCCAAAGGACGGTGTTCAGTTGCCCAATGCATGGGTTCCTCGGCTCATCTCCAGCTATCATTCATGACAAAGACCATGCTTCAGCTCGGGGTGGATATCACAACAGGAGACTAGGTGGGCTTACAAGGCGTCGACCATCAACTCAGCTCCGAAGCATCCACGAAGGATTTTGCGAAGCCACCATGTTTGATGGAGATTATTTTAACGGACGGCGGTGGTTCTCAAAGAACCTAGTCTAGCTTGAGGGTATCGCAACATCGCGCGTGCCCTGTTGTGCTTCTATTCGGAAAAGTCGGAAGAGCTCTTACATGATTGGAGCTGGCATCAACTCAGAGACGATAGAAGAGACTAGACTTCACAGGGTTCCGCCGCATCCATCGCCTCATAGGGATGAAGCTCACCAGGATGCCTTTGGAAGATGCCTAGACTTCATGGGCTCTTCCTGATGAAGAGTCTCGGAGCATAAGCTTATAGGCTCTAGATTGGAGCGGGGGCGTTATTGATAGGCTCGAACACCGAATCTCAAGGGTAGGACCGGGAGACAGCTGACGGTGAATGGCCCATGATTCACACGTACGAAAAGTTGAAGACTCTCGTATGGAACGGACAGAAATAGATCCATGATGTAGTAAGGTTGGAATTGACGTAAATATGGCATGGAAGCATTGTAGGCTAGGAGTAGAAGAGAAGGTCCAGATGAAGGGCAGATGAACTAGAGACTAGGCAGCGAGAATTCGTTCAGCCTAAGCAGCGGTTCTACCGTTACATTCAACGAACCTAGCTAAAACTACGTAGCGTAAGGGGTGTCAGCGGGGGCTTGTGCCGTTGACGGCAGCCCTTCGGCGTTGAGAAGTCTGCACTTGCAGTCGTTATTCTGATATCCATTGGTACAACATGGTGGGCGAGCGAATAGTGTCACTACCCACCGCAGGTGGCAGAGGCTGGTTAGCGGGAGCTGCCTGTCCGCAGTAACCATGTCGAAACATGCCACGGAGATCATGTCCGTCGATTGCAGTCTTCACGCTAGTGAAAATTCAAACCCCACACTTTAAAGGCTTAACTTAGGATACCAGGGTCATTCAAGATACGGGTTGGGAGAACGAACAGCTTGAAGTTGTTGTTCTGAGCAACAAGATGGCACGGAAGGATGGCTCTTTGCAAGTCGGCAACGGTTGGCATGGCTTAGCCCAAGACGACGCAGAGCTCTCATGATTCAAAGTCCTTCATCAAGCACAATACACTCGCCAAACGTTGATATCGTAAGATGAAGAAGTTGGAGATACGAGCGCTGTATGAGGCATGGTGTTTGTGCAGGTGAGACCCTCGGCTTCGCGTAGCCTGAAGGATTCGAATCCCGACGTTCGCAGCTGCGGTAAGCGACGTGAACTTATCAAGGGGGACCCTGAGCCAAGAGGAGATTACCATTGCGGCGGGTCTAGCTTGGCCAGCTTGGCTGTGCAACGGCCATTGACGAAGGTGATAGGTATAAGGCACTGGCAGTCTGTCCGGGAATCGATTCTCGAACCTATCGAAAAGATCGAGGTGTTAAGAGCTGAAGAATGAGATAATTCGCGGGAGAAAGGCCAGCCAATCTCAATGAATTGCGAGGTATCCTATACGGACGAGGCATTGTTTAGGAAAACTGCCATCTCGTCATATGTGCGTGAGCGTGCACTTGCATTTGTTGTGAGGAGCGTCAAATGCCTGCGACTTTTCAACTTCGGGATCTGGAATGGCACTTTTTTCGCGCGCAGCGGCACAGCCTGCATGATCGCGGGCTTTCATAGCTTCAACAACGGTTAACCTGGCGATATTTTCAACAACCAACAATCGCACCAGCCCTGATGGTCTAGCGGTATGATTCTCCCTTAGGGTCTTCATGACACGATTGGGAGAGGTCCCAGGTTCGAATCCTGGTTAGGGCCCAATTCTTTTGTTTTTGCCGATAAAAACCATCGGATAGGTTAGATAGACTCACAACTGTTCGCT